GCTGCTTGGCCTGCTGTGTTCATCCAGCCCTGCACCTTGTTGTCTCGACTTACATCTCATTACTTATTTTAATAATCTAATATTATTGCAGTTAAAATTTCTTTCAAATTAACGCAAACACAGACTAGTAATTAAATATTAACAGTTTTTAATCAGAATCTGTAATTATTTCAAGTGAAGTAGTTACTTGCTGTGGAGAAGGATCTAGGCCCGAAACATCAGCCTTCCTGCTCCTCTGATGCTGCTTGGCCTGCTGTGTTCATCCAGCTGTACACCTTGTTATCTTAGTTACTTGCTGTAGTCTTTTTCCTTCATTTATTGCTTCAGAGTTGTACATAGCAAGTTCCTTGCGTTTTTTAAAGCTTAGGACTGCTGCTGGGGGCAGATGGCAGAAAACACCAGCACAAAACCTGCCACTCAAAGTGTGACAGATGACTGGAGCAACTGAAAACCGTCCCTTTGTTTGTCTTGCTAATGAGTGTCCTCATTGCGGCAGGAGACTTGAATAGTTAATTATCTGTAATTCTTAACTGCAACAGGTGGTGGAGCTAGAGGTAAGTGTTAACTGCTCAAAGGATAAATCAAAACTTGAAAGATAATTGTGTCAGCAGCTTTCTTTTCAAAAGAAACAGATACCTTTACCTTTCAATAAACTACTTATGTATCCAGTTTGAATATTTCTTTGTAGTTTGTGAAAGTCATTTCAGTATAAGGTTAAGTCTTTCAGATATCTATCATATATTTCAGCAAGGGCTTCTCAAATATTTTCGTGCCAAATTAACTTTTAATTCAGACCTCATAGAACTGCTGTAAGGGACTGCATATCTAGATAAAAGCTTTGCTGTAACCTATTACTAACAATTGATGGAAGGTTTTAGTATTATATCTTATTGAGCATATCTCAATCACTTTAAATTCAAATAAGTTGTTTATATATATATTTTCTATACTACTAAGAATGCCTATTTGACTCAAACCACTCCTATAAATGTAAGCTAACATGCGTAATGTTGATTACTTTTCAATAGGCTACTTTAAATGAAAATACAAAAATTACCTGTAAATTACATTGATAAAATGATACTCATAAATAACTGCTTTAACAAATATTTCCAAAAATAAATTACACAAGTGAACAGTAAAACTGGTCTTTCTATAAATTGAACAGAAGCGTTCAATAGCATCAACCCGCCTGCACAGCCTATGCGTGACAGGCATGCAAAGCCATGTTAATGTTCAGAATATGAATTATCTCCGGGTGGTTCCATCACAAAGTAGAAAACCAACTGTGTATATATCAGCAGACCTGATGGACTCCATGCGGCTTCAAGCCTGAAAACTTCACTACTTTGACATGTGACGTGCTCTTTATGACTGTGGCAGTACTGTCAGTGAGGAATGGCAACAATGACAACAAGCCCCCTCCTTAGCTTTGCGCTCTGCCACCCCTGGTGTTGTCCGGCTACACACTCCCCTGCCTGCCTAGTTACGGACAGCAGTCCTCAAGCACACGGGGGGATGTGGGTGGATGGGCCACAGCTGCCTGCCTGGACACAGCTTCCACAATACATGGACCTGAATGATGAGGGCACGCAAACAGTATGATATGTATTATTCTCATCAATAAAATGTCCCCATGAATTATTGTCTTTGTACGTAATGTACTACCAGCTTTTTACCAAGATTCGGTTTTGGATGGGTCTACTTTTTATTCCCCTCTGCACATTTCTCTTTTTTTTTGTGTTGTTTCCTATTCATATTCCAAATGATTCATAAAAGCCAGAAAGTTGGATGACAGCTCTGTTGTGGAATAATTTTCATATTGGCTACACAGCTTGCCATTTCAGCTTTCTGTTTTTTTGTTCTGACAAAAGACTTCTGTGATTTTGCAGTTCAATTTGGACTTCAAGGATGAGTTTGAGAGAGATCAACTTGTTCAAGAAAATGAAGAACTGAAGGATCAGATTTACTTAGTGAAGAAGAATGCCGAAAAGATGTCAGAAGCCATTAATTTAAATGAAACGCAAATAAAAAATTTAGGTAATTTTAGAAAATGCAAAATAAACTATAGTGCAGAAAGACAGTATTTGTTTGAGAGATCTTTCACTTGAATTCAGTTTATTTGAGGATGTGTAATATGGATTGCCATACTGCAAAGTGAAAGACTATTTTCTGCATGCCGTGGATAAGGTAATTGCAAGGTGCATATTTTTACGAGTTTGTTTGAGGAAGTAAATATTCAACAGGTGTTATGTTTGCCACGCAAATGATGCAGGTGCTAACGTTTACACATGGTAATTGTTTTATTTTATCTGTGCTGTCATTACTTAGATTGCCTTTTCCCTAGTATTAAAACATAGTTATCATACACAAGCTGATATAAAAAAGTATTCTTACTTATTATTATCTTAGTCTAATTTAGAAAAATGTTTGGATATGGTTTTCATGAATTTTTAACTTCTCACATATATTCTTTATTTGTTTGAAACTGTTCAACCCCACCCCCACATCTCCAAAATTAGGAACCTAAGTGTTAAACTGCCAGAGCAGACTTATTAACTATTCCTAAGCGACTCAGTTTATTCCAGTGAATTGGATCAGAAGGCATAGTCCTTAACTAACGTTGTACCAATGGAAACTTCAACAGTTTCTTTCTCTTAGTTGTTTCCCTAAACATTTGAGAGTTGATGAAGCTCTTTATTCATGCAGATATTCTTAAGCAATCTGTTCAGACATGTTATGACACACCTCTGGAGTAGGTGACACTTGAACCCAAATCTACTGGCTCAGAGTAGAGACATGACCACTATGCCACATGAGCCCTATTCATGCAGAAGGTCATTTGGAAAGCTCATTTCAAGGGTCTAGGCCCGAAACATCAGCCTTCCTGCTCCTCTGATGCTGCTTGGCCTGCTGTGTTCATCCAGCTCTACACCTTGTTATCTCATTTCAAGTGCATTTCATTTCAACTGAATAGTTTTGATATGTGCTCCTGTTTAATTGCAATGAATTATTGCATGGTTTCCACAAACACATTAATGTAGCGTTTCACTCTATTCAATTGAAAACCACAAAAATGTTCTCTCTTCTTTAATTGATTAAATGCAGCACAAAAAGTATTAAGTTGTATTTGACAGATACCATATTACTTGTTGCTATTTGTGAGCTAATTTAATGTTGTGTCTTGCTTTTGATAAAAATTGCATTGAGCAGATAAAGAACCACCTGCTAAACCACTTTGTATTGCCTGTGACTAACAGAATACAACATTCATAGGTTGGGCACACAGCCACACTTGGCCCTTGAACTACTACCTAATATCCATTAGACCAGCCGGCTAAACAGCAGGGGCAAAGCAGTGAAGGTCAAGGGTAGTGTTTAGGGTTAGAATCCTGCTAGGTCCTCCATCCAATGTGGATTCCAATAGGCTATGAAGTCTGACCTTCAGCATTGAGAAGGAACACAGGCATCTGAAGATCTGATTTTCACAGTCTGCCTTCCTCTTTGTTTTCAGAGAAGGAGCTTCAAATGCTGAAAGAGGAAGGTGAAAAAAATGCAAGCAAACTGCGAAAGGTACTGTTTCAACAAATATAAAATAACTTCCTTTTTGATTCACCATAGAAGAACTATGTTATATATTTTGGAACAATAGCAAGTCATAAACTTGTTAGGATAGATAGGAGAGTTTGACTTTATGGATACAAAAGGTTTGCTTTATTATTTCCCTTTCCTATGTTGGATGATCAAATACTCATTTACCTTGTTCTCTGGTTGTAGTTGATTACATCTGAAGATAATTTGAAAAAACAACTGGATGCTGAGAAATCCAAAAGGGACCATATGGTGAGTAAACTCTTGAGCTACATCAGTTGCCTTGATTATTGCATTAATGGAAGCATAGATTATAACATTGCAGTCAATTTTATATTATTTGCAATATGTCTACACATGATTTTATTCATATGTATATACTTGCATCTTAGGTGAGTGTAAGTGTTTTTCATTGAATTTGAATGTTGGAATCCGGTTCATATCAACCAGGTCTTGAATAAGCTGCAGTATGAAGGTGATCAGTAAATGTGCCCCTGAAACTAGATTAAAATCACTTTAGGATTATTCATATTTTAAATTGTACATCTACCCCGCAAAAAAAAATCCTCCTCCTGTCATAAATTGGCACCTCCTTACTCTGAGATTAGGCCTTTTGGCCCTAGACTCTCCCACAAGGGGAAATGACCTCTCTGCATGTACCTGTCAAGTCCCATAAGAATCTTATGTTTCAATAAAGTCTCCTCTCATTCTTCTCATCTACAATAAGTACAAGCCCAACTCACTGAACCTAGCCTCATAAGAAACGCCCAATATGCCTAGGATCAACCTGGTGAATCTTCTTTGGACTGCCTCAATGTCAGTATATCTTTCCTCAGATAAGGGGGCCAAAACTGTTCATAGCATTCAAGCTGTGGACTGATTAGTGCCTTATATGGTTTTAGCAAAACCTCCCTCTTCTTATACTTCATTCCCTTTTAAATAAAGGCCAATATCCATTTGCCTTTCCTATTAACTGCTGAATTTGAATGCTAGATTTTTGTGATTCATAGAATCACATAGAATCATACAGAAGAGACTCTTTGGCCCATTGAGCCTATACTGCCTAAAATATACCACTTTCTATACTAGTGCCACATTCCTGCACTAGTCCCATAGCCATGAATACTATGACACTTCAAGTGTTCATCCAAGTACTTTTTTAATGGTCGTGAGGTTTCCCACCTCAACTATCATCCCAGGCAGTGCATTCCAGACCTCTACCATCCTTCAGATAAAATCAATTTTCCCCAAATTCCCTCTAAACTTCCTGCCTTTCACTTTAAAGTTATGCCATATTGTTATTGACTGTTTGACTAAGGGGGAGCAGCTGCTTTCAATTCACCCTGTCCATTCTCCTCATAATCATTTACACTTCTATCGCATTCCCCCTTCAGCCTTCTCTGCTCCAAAGAAAACAACCTGATTTTATCCAGCCTGTCTTCATAGCTAAAATTCTCTATTCCGGGCAACAAACTGGTGAATCTTCTTTGCACCTCCGTCAGTGCAATCACATCCTTCCTATAGTGTGTTGACTAGAACTGCATACAGTATTCCAGCTGTGGTTTAAACAAAATCCTGTACAGCTCGAACATAACTTCCCTGGTTTTATAATCTATGCCATGATTGATAAAGGCAAGCATTCCTTATGGCTTCTTACTTAACCTATTAACCTGCCCTGTCACCTTCAGTGATCTGTAAATAAGCACCCCAATATCCCTCTGTTCCTCTGAGTTTCCTAGTGTCCTGCCTTTCATTGAGTACTCCCTTGTCTTGATTCTTCTTCGAAAATGCATCATCTCACATTTACCAGGGTTAAATTCCATCTGCCACTGATCTGCCTATCTGACCAATCCATTTATAGTATCCTTCCTTCTAGATGTCAACCACACAGCTGACCTTTGTGTCATCCACATCTAATTCATGCACTAGGACCTCCCTGTTCCTCCCTGCTGCAGTCTTTCCCCATTTGAATAATATTTCATTTTTTTTCCCCACCAATATGTATAACCTCACATTTTCCCACATTATATTCCATCTGCCAAGTTTTTGTCTGCTCACTTAGCTTGTCCATTCCCCTTTGTAGATTCCTTATAAAATCCTCACTACTTGCCTTCCCATCTGCTTTTGTGTCATCAGCAAACTTCATGATGGTACATGCACTTGGTACATCCAAGTCCTTAATACATATGTTGTAAATAATTGTGGCATCAGCACTGATCCCTGTGGCACTCCACTAGTTACAGGTTGCCATCCTAACAATGCCTTTAACTCAACTCGCTGCCTTCTATTAGTTAATTAATCATCTATCCATGATAATATACTACCCTGAACACCATACGCTCTTATCGTATTAAGTAGATTTATGCACAGTACATACAATTGTCTTTTGGGAATCCACATATCTCCACCACCGACTCTCAGTAGCAGCAGTGTGTACTATCTACAAGATGCACTGCAGAAATTCATCAAAGATCCTCAGACAGCACCTTCCAAACCCACGACCACTTCCATCTAGAAAGACAAGGGCATCAGACATATTGGAACACTACCACCTCCAAGTTGCCCTACAAGTCACTCACCATCCTGACTTGGAAATATACCGCCATTCCTTCACTATCACTGGGTCAAAATCCTGGAATTCCCTCCCTAATAGCATTGTGGGTCAACCCATAACAGGAGGACTGTAGCAGTTCAAGAAGGCAGCTCACCACCACCTTCTCAAGGGCAACTAGGGATGGGCAAGAAATGCTGGCCAGCCAGTGACACCCACATCCCACAAATGAATGGAAAAAAAATTACATGTATTAGTTCCCCTCTATCTGCACTGCATGCTACCTCAAAGAACTGAAATAAAGTAGTCAGGCATGATCTCCCCTTCATAAGGCCTTGCTGACTCTGCTTGATTATAAATACTCTGCTATTACATCCTTTGTAATACTGTATCATTTCCCCAACAACAGATTTTTTTTTGTCTCCCTCTTGTCTGAATACTCGTGGGCCCGTTGGTCTATTGGACCAAAGTTGTGGTGTTGATTTTTACTTTGAATGAGAGCTAATAACACCATTGATCAAATGGGTGTCAGGAAGATCAGGTTGTTGCAGCAGAAGCAGCAACGGTGCTGTGCAATCCTGGTTTGTCAGATATTCCTCTATCTTCTTAATCTTTCTCCATGGCCATCTGGAAGATGACTTCCAGTATGTTCCACTTTTTCAAATGTTGATTGAAAAGAGCCCTCAGTTGGGAGAAGCAAATAATGCACTCCTTCTCCAACTTTCTACACTTCAATAATTTCAAAAAAATTTCAAAAAATAATTTCCCCTAAACCATTCCTGTACTCATTCTACGTGCAATTGGGTAACAGTTAATGTAGTGCTAGGAAAATGACAAAATCATTTTTAATTAGGAGATTATGCTTAGTTAAATTTTCATTGGTCTAATCAATGTAGGAACTCATGATGATCAGTTTGGTATATCACACTCTCCTTTGGAAAGTCTTGGTAAAGTCCTGTACTCCTGTCCCAAAATGGTTTTTGCTGTCACTTTATTTGAAGTATTGTAGTAGCTGAATTTTAATCAACTCAGGAGGTCATGATCATCATTTTAGTGCATCACACTCCATATCAGAGAGCTTCAGTAGGGATCCACAAAAAACATACACAGACCACCTATCCATTTATAGTAGAAGAGTATTATAGCTGCAGTTTTCTAATCTTCTGAGACTTTTCAGAATCAAAGGATTCTTGGAAGATTACTGCTGGTGCATCCACATTTCTGCAGCTACTTCTTTTAAAATCCTAAAATGCAATCTATCATGTCCAGGGGACAATTTGGCTTTAAGCCCCATTAGTTTCTCTAATACTTTTCCTGCAGTGATAGTTATTGTGTTTATTTCTCCCCACAGTCCCCACCCCACCACCTTCACCCCTTTAGTATTTGGCATGCTAAGTCATCTATCATAAAGATTGAAGCAATGTATTTGTTTAACTCTTCTGCAATTTCCAGGCTCCCATTATTATTTTCCCAGCCTCATAACCAAAGGGAATGTTCATCATTGCTTCTTTCTTCTTTTTCATATATTTAAATAGCACTTAAATTACTTGCTAATTTGCCCTCACTTTATTTTCTCCCTCTATTTTATTTGGTCATCCTTTGTTGGCTTTTAAAATTTTCCCAGTCCTGATTTACCACTAATCTTTTCCTCTTTGTATGTTTATCCTTCAATTCTTTACTGTCTTAATCTCCCAAATTAACCATTGTCAATTTGTCCCCTTCCTGGAAGCCTCTTTCACTTGGATTTACCTTTGCTGTGGGTCATGAACTATTTTATTAAATGCCTGCCGTTGTTCATCGACCATCTTTGTCTCCTAAATCACTTTCCCAGTCCACTACAGAAAATTCTACTCTCAAACATATTTAATAATCCTTATTTAAATTTAAACCGAAAGAACTGCGGATTCTGTAAATCAGGAACAAAAACAAAGTTGCTGGAAAAGCTCAGCAGGTCTGGCAGCATCTGTGAAGGAAAAAACAGAGTTAATGTATCGGGTCCGGTGACCCTTCCTCTTGAGGAAGAATCACCGGACCCGAAACATTACCTCTGTTTTATCCTTCACAGATGCTGCCAGACATGCTGAGCTTTTCCAGCAACTTTGTTTTTGTTCCTTATTTAAATTGAGTTGTTTCTGACCCTTCTCGCTCTCAAACTGTTAGTCGGGGTTATCTGTAGGCCTCCACAAGGTAGGATATGGCATAAAACAGGAAATTAGAGATGCATGCAACAAGGCTATTGTAACTATGAGTGACATTAATCTACATACAGACTAGGTAAACTACATGAGGAATAGTACAGTTGGGGATGAATTCCTGGACTGTTTAGCAGATTTTTTTAAGGTGTCTATGTTGAGGAACCAACTAGGCAACAAACTATCCTAGAGATAGCAAGAACTGCAGATGCTGGAGTCAGCGACAACACAGTGTGGAGTTGGAAGACTACAGCAGACTAGACTTGGTTTTATGCAATTAGAAAGAGTTAGAAAATTAGAAAACTACAAAGGCATTGTTATTGAAATTGTTATTGTCCCTGTTCTCTAGGGAATCTTTTACTCTGAAATCATTTAGTAATCCTGCCTGTATAACCTGCCTTTTAATATCGTTAAACAAACTATCACAGTCAACTCATACTATTTGTAGTTTTCTTTGTTTAGTTTTGGAGCTAATTTCAGATTGGATACTTCCCTTTCTATGCCAATGA